TAGGATCCTTGTATTAAATTTTCAAGCTTTTTTACCCAACAAATATTTTATTGACAATCATAGAAACTAAGCTAAACAAACGGAAAGTTGATAATGTCCGTAAATAGCTTAAAACAAGTCAAAATATTTGGAAAATGTTATGGTGTATAGAATATGCTAATATAAACATTCAGTCAACATTTCATATACCTACGGTTATTTGTTTAAGAGTTGCTCCAAAAACCAAAATCGATTTAGTAAAAAACAGATTTTGCCTAAAAATTCCCGTTTTTCCTTAATTTTTACTTTTGACCCCCAAAAGTACCAACTAGATTCACTTTCCTATCAGAAAAGATACTTTTGAAGGAAATCTAAGCATTTTTACTGTCCTAAAAGGTGATGACAGACACAAAAATGTAAATAAAAAAAAACACATCATTGTAAAATCAATACATTCATCGCTCCGCTCAGAATCTAAAATTCAATATTGTAATAATAATGTAATCCCTATTCTCTGCATTTTTGCCTTAGAGTCTAGAGATGATCACAGTGTCCACTATCCACACAACTGTTGTATAAATTTACAATTATATCTATTATATTGATGTCCATAATTAGAAAATATAAATTTAATTTGATACATATTTTAATAAATTATTTCATAATAATTAGTAACGTACCTGTTATGGATAATAGATTAAGATCAGTTTGTAACTATTTTTCTGAAAAATGTCTGAAAATCATTTGGATAGTATAATTTAAAAATTAGATGTTCTCATCTAATTTGTTGAAGCACTACAGACTTGAAAGTGAGTAATAACTATTTACAACAATATAATATAATCGATTAATTATGTTTTGTTATATGACTTATGGGTACCTACCTAATGACACTATGCAATAGGTATGATAGGTATCATATTATATAATATATGTAGGTATACATAATACAACTACGAAGAGCTATTCAACATGACAATATACATCCATAAATCCACTAACCGGATTCTTTAGGTATATTGATAATAAACTAGAATAAAACAATGCATTAATACCTATTACACACATGGGCGTACTCGTAGGGGGAAGTCCCCCCCCTCATTGACCGTATTTTTAAGCGCTCGATTTTAAGTGCTCCAAAAGTCCTCTTACATATTATGCTCCTAGATATTGCTCCCAGCCAGCAGGTATATCAGTGTGTAATATATTATAACTACTATTAAATTTATAATTCATATTATGTTTATCAGTATATCAAGCAAAAAATTAAATAAGTGTCTTCGGGAGTGGCTTCTTTTTATCATCTAGATTTCATATTAAAAAATAAAAAATACCTTTCCCATTACATGTGTGTGTAAACTAAAAATACTTTGGCAATACAATATTAACATATAAATAAACTTAACAATATTTCAAAAAAAAAAATTCACCTTGGATTATCATAGGTAATATTTAAAAGTATTATAGTTATAGATACCTAGTGGCTAGTGACTATACCTATTATAAATATTAAATATATTATAACTTATAAGGTATAAGTATAACAAATGTATCCACGAATATTTTAATTGTCCTGTTATCGGCGTATACCAGAATGGCAGGATCGTGTTACTTGTAAATTACAATCGAAATATGTATATAACCGCATATTAATGAGTAACCACACAGATAATATCTAGGCGACTAGGCATTATAATCATTATAAAAATTATACTTTTTATAAATGACGCATTTTGGAATTTAGCACAATGTGGAAATATATGATTACGGAATAATAGACAGATACGATAATGAAATATACGTTTACGATATAGGTACTAGCAAATATCCCACTTTTTTGGGGAAACTTGATTTCCCATAATATAGATTTAAAAAACTTAGGGAGAACGGCGCGTAGCCCCTACCCCTAAACAATAGTTACCTCACGTACAGATACAAATTATTATTTACATAAATTATATAATTTTAACTCAATATCTATTTTATATATATTAAGAAACGTTGTGGCAGACATATACACACGTCATATAGGAATAATATGTAGAAAATGTAATCGTTAATAGAATTTGTTACTGCGGTGGTTATGGCTTGAAACCGTAAATATTTTTTCCGATTTTGATTTCGGTTTCGGATATCGGTATTTATTTTTTCTGATTTAATTTTTGGGTTTAAATACATGTTTTTATATTTATCGATTTCGATTTTGATTACCGGTATTGATTTTTTTTCAATTTTGTTTTCTGTTTCGGTATCGATTTTGGTTTTTAACGGTTTAAACCGGTATTCAAAATCGGTTTCAAATACATCATTATTATTATATTATTATAATGAGTATTCTGTATTATAATTTATAGCTATTGAAAAAATTGTAATAATCTATACTATAAAGCTGAAGAGTTTGTTTGTTTGAACACGCTAATCTCAGGAACTACTGATTCGAATTGAAAAATTATTTTTGTGTTGGATAGTCCATTTATCGATGAAGGCTATGGGCTATATAGCATCACGCTACGACCAATAGGAGCCCGGGGAGGTGCTCAAATAGGGATTTTGAGAATTAAGATGGAAATGTTTGTTTATAAATAGTTGCTAATGGTTATAAGAGAAATAATTAATAGAAATAGTATTTATTTATTATTGATTGCCATTGATTAATCGGGCAGGTAGATAAGGTACAAGCATGCATCAAATCGAATTTTCGAACATTGCCTACCTGGGTGGCTGATTTTCACTTACTATAGCGAGTTACATCACAAAAGGAGTTGAACAATTACAATTTTTATAAGAGTTTTGTACGGGCCACGAAGTTTGCGGGATCAGCTAGTTTATAATAATTTGAGTTTAATATAATATTTCATACCTAACTATTTTGCTATTGTTAAATTGAAAAATGCAGGGTAATCTGCTTCTTAAACCCAGAATCTGAATCTAGGTAAAAATGTCAGAGGACACAATGTGCACGGTAAAATTTTCTAAAAATAAATAACCGAGGTAAAATTGTGCAAAATAAAGTATAAAAATATAAATTGTACTGAGAATGTTTTAAATTTTGGCAGTTATTAGTAGGTACTTTTTTTTTTTACTATAGTCTGTGTCCCATGAGAACTTGTAGGAACACCTGACCTTGCGATCATATTACGCTATGGATATTTTAGCCCATTTCGACCATGTAAACAATTTTATGCGACATTTCTTTTGAGCGTGAGCAGTTTATTCGTCCAATACAGAGACATGTTAGAGATATGTGCTTAATTTATCGGCACATAGGTCCATTTATGAAACCTCATAGTAGGTATATCGTATATGATCTAAGGATAATATAATAACATAATATTATGTTATTAAACTATATAAGTCGAGAATTTTGGATTTGATTTGCTGGACTTGTTAGAAAAAATAACTGTAGGTAAGTAGTATTTTTAGATTAGTTTAGAGTAAAGTTTAGGGAGTACCTATAGTTTGAACCACTTTCGGTTTATACCAATAGTGATAATAGTGCTATAATATCCAATCTGTCACATACGAATCGTCCATCTTGGTTGAATTATTCCCAAAGCGAGGTATATATATAGGTACTGACGCCGGTTTGTCCACGAACTTAGGTGCCTGCACTAAAACCAAGTTAAACCTACTTATTTAGCGTTTTGTTTGATATTTTTTTATTTCTCACTGGTAAAGTTGGTTTATACAGTAAATTGTTGTTGATTTATCCGAAGTTAATAAACTCAAACACTACTGGGCCGTTTTTAATACAAGTTATAACAATAGATTTCTCCAGACTGGGAGGGTGCTTACAGCTTATTTTTTTTAACCCCTATTGGTAGCTAAAGGGTAATTCACATATGAAATTTTTTCAGCTCACGACAAAAGAATATATATTATTTTATTTAAATAGATATCATTGGTTACATATTATATTACTATTATAATAATTAGTAGAAATATCGATGCTAATATTCGGCATGCGCTCTACCGGTTTTTGCGTTCTACACTCGGTCTACGTTCGGTACACGGATATTGGACTGCAATTACTGTATATAAGGTACCTATGCGGCTATGCTATGCGTTATCTGCCTCGTTTTTATATAATATGTTAAGAGCTGTATCTATACTATATATATCATATACTGAAGTAATTAATAACCGAAATCACGGTGCAAGGGTAGATGACCCCTTAGAATATCAGAAAGATCCTTCCTTTTGGTATGGGCTCTGCATTGATTTCTCAGGGGGCCGTTTCCTTTATATAAGCAGATATATAGATAGATGTTGAGAAGAGCATGTTTAAAAATAAAATATTTGAAGCCAGTTTTTTTTACAATTTTTATTTTTTTTTAATATTTTAGAAATAAAATTAACCATAACTTTACACATTATTAATTTATATATAACTGTACACAATAGTCCGACAATGGTATCAACGTATATAGACAAATATAGTTATTTTCTCCAATGAATCATCTTCATAACAATTATTATTTTGTAAATTCGAATTTTTTATAATAACTTGTTTTATCAAGACACATTACAATTTCATAAACGAATTTAATTTTGAAATAGCATAGTCTCCATATTTACTGAAACGTGTTTAAAAAACTAATGTAGTTAATAAACACACAATTATCAATTATATAGGTATTATAATTCATATAATTATACTAACAAAATTAATTTGTCATAATCCCATTGTCAAAAAGAGAGGAGGGCAACGTTTTAGGTCATTTATTTTTATTTTGTTAAGGAGACTAGCTTTAGTATAAAGTAAAACCAGATGTACAAAATATAAATAAATTAAAATAAAACCCTTAACAAAAAAAACACTGTATACAAATATTTGCAAATTTATAAATAATTGAATTCCAAAGAAAATAAATGAAAAATGGCTAAGTATTTAGAATTTTTTTTCTTATTTATATAAATTTTTTTATAACATGGTACCTACAATAAAATAAAAAAAATAGTAGAATTTGTGTCGATTGATGAATATTGAAAACACGCAGCCATAAGTTAGTGCTGTTACACTACTCAGCTGTTTCTTCCTCATCAGAGTCATTTGCTGCAAGTGAAAGGAAGAATGAATTTAAAACTACAACAGCCATAGTTTTTGTTTCTAGGTCTTCATCGAATCCAGCTTTGAATTCATCTTCTTTTTTCCATAATTCAAACGATTCTTTACTTATAACACTATCCTGATAGAGCTTATGGAACAGTCTTAATACCATTCCTTATGTTGGAAAAAAAATGATATTAATAATAAATCTAAAAATTAAATAGTTGGTAACTAACCTCCAGGATGTTCAAGTGCAGCAGACATAATTTGAATGCCATATAGACATTGTACTTCCCTTGCCTGAATTTCAGGTTCCGGAAGTGGTTCAGACCGAATATAACAGGTCAACAATTTCACATGAACATGATCAAAGAAATCCTCATATGAATGATTTGGTTCTATAGGTTAAAAATTAATATTTAATAATTGAGTAACTATTTTACTATAAATGCAGAAGAAGTGACTTACTAGAGCATACAATGACAATAGCTATAGTTAATGCTCGCACAAATTGAGGGCATTTTATTATTTCAGCACTGATATTAGTCTAAAAATAAAAAGATGATTAACCACATTAATGTTTATTATCAACATGCATAATACAACGCGATAATTTAAATAGGCTGGTTAATTAATTTACTCACACTTATCCAACTGTGCAATACATCGTACAGAGGTTTACTATCAGTCATCTTCATTTTATCATACATGGCAATAGATAAAAGGAATACTCCAATTCGCTAAAATTAAATATATTAAATTAAATTGAATAAAAAACTTACAAAAAATTTAAAAACTTACATCATTTTTAAAATATTTATTTATTTGGTTATTAGGCATAAATACGTCAAGAGGAACATATTCTGACGTCCTCCACTTGTTGTAAATAAACAATATACCACCTAGTTGCTGAAATGACAAAAATAGTTATAGTACAGGTAAGGCAAACAGGTCACAATAACATTTATAAGCTTATCAGTTATATTGGAATAAATTACCTAAATAACTAACAAATATAAGTTACCCAATATCATTAATTAAATACCACTACAAAGAGGTAACATCAATCAATGCCATAATTTATTGCTATATTAATTGAGATTTAAAGCAGAAGTTGCACATTATTGACAGGAGGTGGGAATTAAGTATCTACTCGTCATCTGGCACCATGTGCCATTAGCAATAAATGATTGCATGGGTGTTATTTAATCGAAACCGATACATATGTCAAAATTAATAACATCAAGAAAATATCTAATAAAAAATATACTTATATAATATTATGTAATATTACAGAATGTACAATAAATATTCAGTGAAAAAAAGTCTTTCTGGTAAATTAATTGTGCAACAATGAATGCTGAAATAGGTTCTGAGAATAAAATACATTGTTATATAGTTTAATATCAATTGATTACATAATAAAATGATATATGGAAAGACGAAAGTCTTTGATAATGGTATAATGTAATTCATATTACCATAAATTAAAAAACATGATAAGACATATTATAGTAATACCAATGCTATCAGTTATTGCTCCTTATTCTTTTAGTCTCAACTTTGTCTCATAAGTATGCATGGATTTCTATAGGAGACAAGTAGATGCTTACCACTCCCACCTATTGAACAAAAATGACTAAAATCTGTAGTTAGTCAAATCGAAATTAAATAATGAGCAATAAACGATTGCACTAGAGGGAACATCAAGTGTTTTTAATATATGATATTAATAAAATAGTTATTTATCATTTAACTGTACATTTTGTCAGTAAAAATCAAGCAATGCTTACTTTTTTTTTTTTTATATATTATAGCTCTGAAAAACTCAAAATATTTTGAATTCATATCAAGAAAATTGTACGATAAATGTTTCCTACAACTTGCATACCGTACAAATTATGAGTTAATGAATAATAGAATTTTTATTTAAACATGAATACATAAATAATATACAACCTTTTAGTTTTTTCTGATAAATTAAAAATATCATCATCCACAAAAAAAAACAAAATAAGATTTGCTCCCAAAAGCCAACCCATAAATTTAAATATTGAAACATTTTTACACCTCATAAAAGAATATAAAATTATAAAGAAATCATATAATTGGAATCCATTCAAAATCTATAGAATAAATTAGTTTAATAAAGACTATCACTTACTTCTTTAATGTTCTGCGTTTCCTTGGAACTAAGCATTTTATTTAATACTTCTGTGAAAAATTTACTAGAATTGTCAGGTCGTATTGATGTACAAGAATCTTTAAGATTATTAAAATCAAAGGAAGCATTCTGTGATAATAATAATGGAGCTATAAAAAGAAACATATTAAGTCGGTAAGTTTGTATACTTCAAATACTTGCATAAATAAAAAGTTACCAATAATGGCAGCAATATAGGAGAAAAATTGAGGGTAATCCATCAAATAATCATTCCAATCTTTAAGGACAGCATCAATTCTTAAAAATAAATAAAAATTATACAAATTAGAATGTTAAACACTATGAATAAATATTTACCCTCGAGTTATGGCATCCATAGAAAGAATTTTCTTAGATAAAAGTTCTGCAAAAATTTTTCCTGCTACCGTTGTTCGGGTAATTGGACTACTATCTAAAGTTATAAGTGACATTGATGTTACAAATTCTTCATGCCTAGTACGGATCTCAGAAGTTTCATCTTCCGATAATGAATAAATTATATCCTATATGAATACAAAATTAAAATTACACATTATGATTTACATATGATAAATATAAAATACTTACATCTAAATTTTGCATTTGCTCATATTCAAGAAGGATATTTAAACATTTCATGTTAATTTTATTAGACGTTTCTGAGTCCAATTCTGACACAGTTTCTTTTGGCTGTGATGAACTAGAAGAATTTATTGAAGGAGTGGATTGATCAAATTGGGGCATCATACTCGCTACACCTGTTAAGTAAAATAAATAAACATGATGTTTTAAAAATAGGTCAGTTTACTAAATGCCATACCAGACATCTTTCTTTGTCTTTCTTCACTTTCTGATATTACAGGCTTCCACGATGTGTTCTTATTTGACCTAAAAAAAATGTAGGACATTAACAAAAAAAAAATTATAAACATAAAAAAAAATAATATAATTACATAATCTGTGGAGAATTTGATGACTTTTTATCATCATTAAGAACTTCATATGGGTTACTGCTAGTAAATGTCATGTTTTTACCCGTGGTAAATGACCATTTAGGTGGGCCTAAGGTTGTAACAGATGCGTTTTCCTGAAGAAATTAATTGTATTTAATATTAACGTCAAGTTGTACACTAAGTATATTTAATATAATATTATTTTACCTTAAAACCTTGTAGTTTGGATTGGTCAATTTGGTAATTTGGTTGCTTATACTTTGTATTATTTTGAACAATATTCCACTCATTCTCATTTTGACCTAAAAATAACATTAATTCAATGGATATTAGCCAATAATGTAATTTCACAAGTTAAAAGATAATAAAATTAAACTTGTATGAATTGTGTATGAAATGTGTTTTTATCATAGTGAGTAATTTATCAACATTTTATATTTTCAGTGAGAAGATTAGACAAAGTAATCATTTAAAAACACGCTAATACATTACTTTTTAAATATATTAGTATAATGCTGTTTAGTTTATTAATTGAAATTTTAGATACATACGGCTACTTTTATTTTCACCACCCCTGACTTTGTCATCACCACGATGATGATCTCGTTTTTCAGGTCGATTATAAGCCAGAGTTATTGATTGTTGTTCAATTGCTTCATTTTTGACATCGTTTTCTATTTCGTTAATCATCTTGGGTTTACTATCAGTACGCCTAGGTATCCATTTATCCCTACGTAAATCAATGACATCCTGTATCATGAATTTTATTCTAGATGGAATCTTGGATTTCATGTCTCTGGATGTTAATGCTTTCAGTTTATCAAAAGTATCATTTAAATCATACGACTGGAACAATAAAATATATATTGTTAGTTTATCTTAGTAGTAAGTATCGTTTTGATGTAACCTGGCTATTTACAATAAATTAAATTAAAACACTTATATCAAATATTATCATGATTAAACTATAATTTATAATCAACTTAATAAAGTGTAAATTTACTTGTTCCAATTCTTTTCCAACAGTTTTCAATAAGTTGCACAAACACTCAAGTGGTTCTTCGACATGTTTAGTGACTAAATTCACGATGCAATACAACATAATATTTGGGGTAAGTATTTTTTGTTTAAATAATTCCCCAATAAATCTAATAACACATAATAAAAAAATACAGAAACTTGATCTTCATTTACTGTTTATTATTAATTACCGGCAATTTCCTACAGAACGTTTGCGTAATCTTCTTTCATTTTCCTCAAATTCAAGTTGAAGTTCTTTCTTCTTTTCCTAAAAATTATAATCATAACAAATTAACAACCATTCCATAACCTCAATTGTAAGTCATCAAAATTACTGGATCTTTGCAAGAATTGATTTCAGTGAGTTTCCTGGCAGAATCCATTTCTTGGGCCTTGTCTAGTTCAAATAAGCTTTGGCATTTACTTATTATTAACTTCTTAAAAGATGCAGTTTTACCATCTTTAGAACTGACTTGTAAAGATTGCATAGCCGAACATAAAGATGAATAAAGAGGTGCAAAAGATTGTTCTTCTATTGCCTGATTTAAAAAAAAAAAAAAGATTTAAGTTCATTAATGTGATTAACTTGAAATTCAATACTAACAAAGATTAACTAAATAGTTTTTGGGAGTGTAATTGGTTACTTAATTATTATTAATACTCAAATTTAAAAAAAAACTATTTACCAACATACACATCAGGATTACAAAAATAAAATCAAAGAACGAGAATTTAAAACAGTTTAAAAAGTTATAATAGAAAGTATACATTACAAAATAAAATAAATGATCCATCAATTAGATATATTAGTTATAAGTAGAGCCTGGAATTATATTATTATTATTTATAATTTCCATGATTGTACTAAGTGTATGCACGTTTAGGGGGTTTGATGTCTACGTTCATATTTCAATGTATTGAAACACCAAATTTTATATTGCATATTTCTTCATAACTGCATATAACATGCATATTTAATGGGTTTTTATAAAATTAGCTATTTTAATTTAAAATAAACATACTTTAGTAATTTTAAAGGAGTAAAATATCGTTAAAATACTCGGCTACAACAACGTGCGCAGCATCATATCTCAGGTAAAATTCAACTTTTTTTATATAAATAATATTTACAGATGGCAAATTAAGATTATAAAATATTGTATTGGGATTTTTTAAGTATTAACATTTATATTAATTAAATATATTTTTTTTGTTTCTGATAGTAAACATAGTATAAATCCGGGCTCTAGTTATAATAAAATTGTATTACACTCCCAATAGGATGGGAGTATATATATAATTTATATTTATCACCTTTTCAAAAACTAAATCAATAGTTTTCTCAAGACGTTCAATAGTGTCAATAGGCAATGCCTTAAATCGCTCAGTTAATGAAGGCATGTTATCAGGAGTTATTTTATTCAAAATTGATCGAACGCTTTTGTTGACTTCCTGTAAAATTATAAGTAATACAGATTAAATTAACAACAATATTGACATTATATGCAATTAATGAATGTTAGAAACATAAATTGTTATCAACTAAAAATATTATTAATCACTGTATGATAAACAATTGTTATAAGATGTAGGCTTATACAAAAAAACCAGACATAAAAACTGGCCGCTGATTTTAGCAGCCCCAGTGGCATTTTTTTTGGTAGGTTATCTAACAACTATAACAAAAAAAAAAAATCCCCAAAGGGGCTCTAAAATCAGCAGCCAGCTTTTGTGTACCAGACTAATGACTACATCACACCATAATTTAGAATCTATAGACTTTATTCCAAAGTTCAATTAACCAATGATATACAGGCTTCTTCAAAAATATATTTTTAAATATCAATATTGTCAATATGGATATTGAAAAAAATATTAGGTATCGATAACTTAAGATAATTATTTTCAAAATATATTATACATGTTCTTTGGTGTTAAAATCAGTCGGTTTCAGGTACCCAATGGCTGGGGGCCAGTAATTATAAATTAAATTTGATTGCAATATATTCAATATTGCATGATACGTATCACGATTATCGATATCTAAATTTCCAATATCAATATCGATATCATTGAAAAAGCCCAATGATATATATTGTTATAAATTTATTAAAATGTGAAATTTTATTTTGATTCCTACATCATTTTTTTGTTCCTCTTCATTTTTTGTTTTAACAACTTCAGACTTGGTAGCTTTTTTAGCAGCTGTTGGAACCCAAGCGTTTTCAGTCTGATTTAATTTAACTTCTTCTCTTAAAGAAAGAGACATATGAATAGTGTTAGGTTTTGCTGTTTTACTTGCTGTTTTTCTTTGACTGCTATTGCGTTTGGCACCTGGTTGCTGATAATCATAAATACAATATTTTTAAATTGCCTATTAAAGAAATTATCAATTCTATTAAATTATCTACTTACCATAACAGGCATACCACTACCACGTTGACTATTACCAGGTTTAAAATAGGAAGGCATAAATACAGTTGTACTAGCACTTTGAGACCTTGGTAAACTAGGTGTTGTCCCCTAACAAATTTTAAATTATAAAACACAATAAATTAGTTTAAATATTTAAAGCATAAATATTAATTTATCAACTTACCCCTAATGAATTAAATGCACTAGATAATTTTGTTAAATTACCCCAGTTTCTCAATACATCAGGTTTCTTTTGACAGACGGCTTCACTACCAAGTTGCATTAAAAATAATTTAGAATACACCCTTTTTCCAGTTGGGTTTGTAATACTCCATTGTCCTATATAAATATCAAATAAAACCATAGTACTAGTGTAAAAATGACAAGATAAAAAAAAAACCATCTAACCTTCAGCATAGGGTAAATTGCCTAAATAACTTGGAAACTTTGGAGCGGCTTCTTCAACAACTGGTTTGTGTTGAATTCCATTGTTTTGATTGTTTTGGGTTTCTTCCGGTTGTTGTGATAACTCTTCCGGTTTTGGAATAATACTCTCTTCTTCATCATTTTTTGAGTTATGATAATTGTTATCATTCTCCTTGTTTTCTTGTTGTTTTAAAATATCCTATCATATATGTTATGTTTTATATTTATTTTATCAGAGTAAGAATTATAAAGAGTTTGTGTATGGTTAATTAACATAGTAACATGTATATTAAGGGTGCTGAACTGCATTCTATCAGCCACATGCCTTAAAGTTAATATTTCTCTACCAATCGGAAAACAAGTACTTATTATACTTTATATTTAATTATCAAAAAGTATTATTTTTATTAGTAGCATATACTCGGTTAAATCTGTTAATATAGAAAGTTATATATAACATTTTAACAATTATAGTGGTGGATAAAATACCAATAAATAAATGATTTTTAATAATTAATTTTTTTTTAATATCAAATATTATATTAAATTTTTAATTCAATAAAAAGTATGACTAGTAAATAGTGTATTTAACGATCACGTTATTTTACTATATTATGGTTACTACTTGGCTAGATAATTAAGTTTTTTACGGTAAATCAGTTTTCACTCACAGTAGTTTTTGATTCAATAACAGGCTCAATAGTAGTAGTTTCAATTGTAGTATCTACTTTTATTCCCTCATTGGCATCTAATTTAACCAAATTCTTTTGCTGATTATTCTTCTTCTTGATTTTAGTCTTTTTTGGTTTAACTATAAAATATAATAAAAATCAATTACATAAAGTTAATAGTTTATTTTCAAGAAGGTAATATGATGATAACATTTTAAATAACATCATAGCAGATGTTTTGCTCACAAGCCATACAGGCTGCCAGAATAGTCTGAAATAGCCCAATGATGCAAATACTAAAAATAGGTGACAAGGTATACATTTATATATGACTGGGTCATGTGTCAGCCTCTACAAATATTTTATTATCAAAAATTTGAAATTAAATATAGTTTAAGATCAAAAATACATAACATACTACACATAAATTAGTTTTCAGAATAATACAATAATAATATAATATATTATTTATTTAAATAAATATAAGACTGGTATAAGAGAAAATTGAGAGCCACTGGGTTTATTTGAAATATTCCTTTCTTGTATTGTTATATAACGATCACTCTTACTTTTTGTAAATTAAAATACCAATTGTGGATAATTTTAAATAAAAGTTAAAAAAAAAAATCTGAGTGCGAGTATCCCTGATATGTGATTGTCAAGACAAAAATTACAATTTGTCCAGCTAAGCCATTAATATTAATTTATCATTCAATACATAAATTATGTCAATTTTGATGTAAAAAAAAAAAAGGTTTTAGCAAATATTTTTATTTTACGGACAATTAATTGAATAATGGATAGAATATTTTTTCTTTTCATAACTTAATACATATATTTTAAATATAAAAGACAAAACGGTTAAATAATATAAAATCCATAGGCATAGGTAGGTTTAATGAACTGCAAACACTTAAATTTGATACATTGGTTATATTTATAATTCATATAAGTATATTGACTATCAAGAAATCCCATCATCTATATATTCAAGGGCTAACAAATTAAGGAATCTTCAATTATATATTATAACAAATTATTCAAGTTCATGACTTATTCTGTAAACAATAAGGAAGTTTATTTAAAAAAAATAGTGTATATAATACACTAAAATCGAAACAAAAATTAAAACCAATGAGATATTGAAAATTTAATTCCAACTTTCAGATAACATTTTCTAGACTATAAAAAGGAAATGTCAAGATTTTAACTTGAATAATAATAATTAAATCAACGATTTATAATTAAATTCGATTTTAATATATAAATGCACAATTAAGTTAATGAATAATTATTAAAAAATCCATATAATAATATATTATACTTGATTTTTGGGAAACAATCATCAAGCTTTTAGAAATAAAAATCGATAAGTACTCACTAATAGGTCCCTTCATATTAATTCCTAATATGACATTCTCCGGATTGATATTAATATTCCGAAGTATATAAACCCTTTTACAAAAATGAAGTTTTAAGAAAATAAAAACACGTGCGCATTGAGTGGTACGAAAAATAATAAAACATTTTGAAAGGCAACACACGACTTCTGCATTCGCAAACAGTTGATACAGGTCAGTAATACCAACTGCTTACAATTCGTAAAAAAAAAATTAAACGTATGAAACATCAGTGTAGCCATTGTAAAATAAATAATATCGTATTGAATTTAATAAATATAAAATTGAACCATGAATTAATCTTAATTAATATCTTAAATCTTTATTCGTGAATTGAATTCTATTCAACTATTAATGTTATCAAGTTTAATATCTGTGAATTTTAATAGTAAAATTGGTAATACTAAATATATAAATCTATCTTTTGCCAAATTAATTACTAATACATTTAAAAAAAAATAAAATATTATGTGACTCAAATTTTTACAAATAATCAATAATATTTTAAATCATAATTTAATGTTGTGAGTCAACTTGGATTTGGGGCTGCCTTTTAAATAATAAATTATATTACGAAAAACGTTGTAGAATGTATAAATACATCTGACCACTTCATTATATTATATAGTAATAGATACGTTTTATAATTGGTGATCATTAGAGAATCGAGATTTCCAATTAGGCAATATTAGTACAGAACAATTTAGTAATCGTTTGACCCATCAATATTATGTAAGTTGTAGTTACCAGCTCATATTGAGGTCTGATTGGATATCGCTAAATGAGTGATAATTAATATTTAAGTCATAATCTATTTCGAAAGAACTCAATTTTAATTCCTTGAAAGTTACATTATTAAAAAACTTAAGGAAATATTGATAATTTTGAAAGAATAATATTAATAAATGCAGTGCTTGTAAGAAACACGTTCAAAGGATCTAATTGCAGAGATTTTGACCAATTTTCAGGAACTTAATGGGAACGAAGTTCCCTTGTTGTGTGAACTGTGAAGGAACACATATATTGGAATTTTGTTCATATTTTTAGAGGAACAAAAGTGATTTTATTTGTTCTTTTTCTGTTTATTTATTCTTAAATATAGGGAATTTAACTAATTTTTAGAGCAAAACTTTTTTAGGAATTTAATCAATATAATTAATTATATATTAAACCTATATACGACAATATTGACAATGTTTACAAAATGTCAAGTCAGTCACAGAGGTCTTATCGGTCTTAATATGTATGAAATAAACACATTTTAAAAATAAAATAAATACATAATTAAATAATTTATTAATAACTAAAACTTATATTAAAACAACTTTAAATTTATTGAGGAACAATAAATGTTATCTATTTAGGAACCGAGGAAAGGAACTAAATTCCTTTATTTAAGTCAGAACAATTTATTTCCTTTTAATAAGAAGAAGGAATTCCTTTTTTAAAAGGAACTTTCTAAGCACTGAATGAATCTGTTAAAGGGTTTAAAATATAAGATTGCAAAAAATACGAATAATTAAGAGAGTAAATTGAAGTAATAATTGAAATCTTTTCAAATTAGTAATTTGAATACTTAACGAATTCAAAATAATCTTCAGCAAGGGCGCACACATGGGAGCATGCTCCTTGTTATTTCAATTAATAATAAATTTCATATCACTTGTAAAAAAAAATATAAGTGCTCTATATTCACAACATTTGACTTTGTCCCATCTCCCCACAATCTATATCTACGAATGACTACATCAATCAATCCAATCCATCATCAAATGTTTATCCAATTGAGTAATAAGTACTCTAAAGATGGTAATGGTATCATTATGTAGCAAATATTCAGAAGAAATCTGTAGTTTCAATTTTCACAGTGGTACATTAAATACATATTGTATAACCAACTTAATTGTAAAAAAACAATAAGTTAAGCTGAAATACATACATTCTTGAAGGGCTATAATCATTGTCTATGCAAATTTAAGCTGAATGCAAATTATCTCACCCATCATTTCCAAGAGCCTTGACACTTTGCAACAAATGCCCCAATTACGACTTATTTTTTTTCATCTTTAACTAAGATTTTACTTTTATATTGTACTTGAAATTCTACCGACGATCGATGGGAAAACACGACTCACGAGTGACTGCGAGTGAAAATAATGCGATGTACAGAAAGTTCTCATCAGTACAATATCATTCGCAATAGTGGATTGAGAGTGTTATTACTTCAATAAAAATTATACCTAATATGGACATTTATGCCAATCTACATGGCGAAAAGCTCAACAATTAGGTATATGTTCCTTATACAGAAATAACATAGATTTTAGAATAAGTTACGATATGATTAACGCTTTAGCGTTTTTACCCTTTAGTGAAGTAATAGATGGAATGGTTTATTTATATACAACGACACCTGTAGAATTGTTACCGTTACTAAAATATTTTGACGAAACTTATGTTAGTAGGAAGTCTGGGAGCCCAATATTTTCTCCAAACTTCGTGAATGTACTTTGCAAGACAAATTATACAACGAATGTGAGAACTTCTTAAATAAAGAAATTCAATTAGGACAATTTTTAAATAATATAGCAAAGTATACGAAATAATAATTATTAATCATAAACTATATTATATTATATTTACTGTACCTATATATTTTTATATTTATTTTATCTGCCTGCTACTTTGTATGTACTTATTGGTGTTTTTTGGTAACTTTGATTGCTAACATATTTTTTTTTGTTTTAAGTATTATTTAAATTTAACTTGTTGACGATGGTGATTTATCAAAATTATATTATAAACATTGTAAATATTTTAGGACCCCTGAAAATTAAATTTTGAATAGTACCAGTTTTTTATTTCTTTTGTTATAAATAGTATGGACCGTACCAGTATTCCGAGCATCGTAACAAGGTATATTGTATTTATGCATGTAATGTATTAATGTAATATAACAAGGTATATTTCAGATCGTTATTATTGACTGACTATTGAGAATATCATATTAAACTTACTAGGGGACCTACTGGCTAGTGGCTACCACCCACCCCTCTATTTGAGAAAAATTTCAGAGGCCATCATATAAGGCCTCTGAAATTACCATTCGCTACTCCACTGTTTACAAATATTTACAGAAATAAATTAATAATAATATAATTAATAATATTCGCGAATGCCAAGTAAATACTAATAATATTATCGTTCGACGAAGTTGATAGTAATACCTACCTACCTACCTAAAATGAACGTAATACCAACATGGCATTATTGTACCTAAAATAGGAACCTACTAAAATAATATATTTTAACGCGTTTTGGTAAGTATATAACACCAAAATATTCAGTCTGTCGTTTTATATTCTTCATCTACTGTACTTTATTTTAGTTCCTGGTTTTAATAAAAATGACCTAAGTTACGAGCACTTTTTTTTTAGTTGTACTTGGACTGGTTTCACGAAAGCACCGACTATTTTGGTCTGTCTATGCAAATAATTTATGTTGTTAAAATGTTGTTATCATTTTGTCTCAATCACAAACGTAATGGTCACGACGTAACTTAAGTGCAATTTAAATGGGGTATAATTAAGTACTTCACCTTCACGCACCAACATAACACCACCAGACTATAAGATTCAAATATAGAAATGCTTAGTGAAATAGATAAGACTATTAAATCTTTTAATTGAAATGACGTTGAATTCGTGTTGGGTAGCTCTTCGTCTATTAATATTAGAAATTTCCTTTTTTAATTTTTCATGAATATTGTTTAGACTTTGAAATATAATTGTTTCAAAGTTTGGTAGGCAGTAACTAATATGTCGCCGAAGTATTTAAGCAGGGCGGCAAAGTGGAAAATTAAATTAGGAAAAAAAAACAAAAAAAACTGTCGGGGATTATTATCTTTTCATTGTCCTTAATTTACTAGACCAAGTAACTAAATTGTATTTATACTTTATAGTACATGAAATAATGTACAAATATTTTATGAGTTTTGAGATAGGTATTAACACTTTTAACGTATAAATAATATATTTTTTTTACTATCAACATTCCCCCCACCCTCTGTATACGCAGATTTTTCCTAGAACATTTTTTTGACTTAATAAAAAAAATTGTGCACTAGGCAATAATTTTATTAAATCAGGTCCTGTAATAAAACAAAACAATTGCGATACCTTGATGCAGAATCACTTACCAATAATGATATTGTTATCAAGTTTATTTTTTATACGTACTTGTAAAAGAGATAGGGCGAAAATATTACGTCTCGTTTGAGTATGCCCCTAATATTGGTGACGCAAATTAAAATTGTACTTAAATTGCCACAAGACATCATCTCCTCGGCCTAAACTTAAATTAACATCAATAGTTGTCGCAGTGACAGTGACGATAATATTATAATATTCTGTCGAAGCGTCTTGTAAATAAAAAAAAAAGTTTCACAATGCATTTTACTAAATATAATAGTGTAGGTACTATACAGCTTACTTACACTGCATAATAACATAATACATAATGAAATATACTATAACAATAGGAGTGCATTTGCATTTTTATAAAATCGACGACTCCGATATTGTGCATACAATAATAATAATATAATATTGTTATTATTGTAATATAACTACATATACCTACCTACATATTTTACAAAATAGATTTACTGATAGGTACTCACTCACATGTCACTCCTGGCATTTTCATGAAAAAAGAAAGAAAAGAGAAAAAACGGATTAGCATCATAATAATATTACATATAGTTATAATATTAGAAATAGTAACAATAATAACAATAATAATATATGTACACGCGCACAATGCGACGTTCAATTGTTAATGGTTATAATATGACGTAGGTAGTAGGTACCTACCTAGCTGGTATAGTGGTATAATATATAAATTATATATTATACTACCAGCTAGGTAATTGGTTAACATTTCAGTGTTCTTCCGTGTCTACCGATCCTAAAGTAAAAACAAAACAATGTTTAAATACTTAAATGTTTTAATTATCATTATTTCATTAATTTCTTTACCATGAAAATTAGGTACACTGCACAATGAGATATTTCCTGATGTTTTCAAATGTGAATCTACAACGATTACTTGACTGTAAATTTTTATGCAAGGAAAAACTTCTTTCGACCTCTACATGGACGACATTGGAGCATATATTATGTAGGTACATAAAATAAACCAAATCATTACTTGTCAAGTCTTCGGGCAATCCTTCCATATCTTCAACTTCGGCGCTTAACATTTTTGAAATTTTTAATAAAGCTTTGTAACCATGATTTATTTTTGTCTAAAACGTCATTTAACTTCTGTACCTACTACTGCTTTGCCTTTTGTGCATTTTAAGTCAACAGTTTTATTTTTCGCATCTTCCACAGTTTTTAATGCATGGGATAATTTTATTCCTTTTTTTTTTTCCAAAAATGTTATGGATTTGGGTAAAAATCCAAAATTCGATTTACCTAGTAAAATATGCCAAGTATTACACTGAAGGTTTTTCTTTTCCAAATACTTAATTTTACAAAAAAAATGTCAAAATATTAACTCAAAATAATTCGCTAATTTTCGTGATTTTTCCATATTTTTACAATTTTTGAACTTTAAATGCTTATAAAAAAAAATTGTGACTAAGGATTTTTAATATTTTTCATCTGCCTTTGAAACAATATATTAGGAGCCTTCTATTAAATTTTCAAGCTTTCGCAACCAACAAATAAAATTTTATTGATATTTTTAGAAAAAAAACTAAAAAAAAATGGAAAATGAAAATGTCCCTAAACAGTTCAAAATAAATCAAAATATTTTGAAAATGTTATCGTGTATAGAAAATGCAAATATAAACAACCAGTGAAAATTTCATGTATATACGTTCATTTGTTTTAGAGTTACACCAAAAACCAAAATCGATTTTTTGGAAAACCAATTTTGCGTAAAAATTCCCGTTTTTCCTTAATTTTTATGTTGTTTTTCCCGGCGCTTGTGAAAACTACTGGGAAATTTATACACTTTTTGGCCCAACAGATAAAACTTAATTGATATTTATAGAAAAAAAAACTAAAAAAAATTGAAAGCTGTAAATGTACGTAAACAGCTGAAAAAGAGTCAAAATATTTTCAAAATTGTATGATGTAAAGGAAATGCTAATATAAATGTTCAGTGAAATTTTCATGTATCTACAGTTATTCGTTTTTGTATTACAACAAAATACGGAAATCGCTACATGAGAAATCGAGTGAATATCCAATTTTGTAAAAATTTGAATTTCAAACGCCCATAAAAATTTAATTTGACTTTCTTATAGACATTTTTTTTTTTTGATAAAGGTAGATAATCTTATAAGGAATCTTTTATTACATTTTCAAATCTTAGATTTAAAAATAAATATTTTTACGAATTCTTAACTCAAAATAATTTGCTAATTTTAGTGATTTTTCCATATGTTGTCAATTTTTGAACTTTAAATGCTTATAAAAAAAAACTGTGACTAAAGATTTTTAATATTTTTAATCTGCCTTTGAAACAATATAGTAGGAGCATTTTATTAAATTTTCAAGTAATTTTATTCAACTAATACATTTTTATCGATATTCATAAAAAAAAAAAAACTTATAAAATTTTAAACTGAAAATGTCCCTAAACTGTTCAAAATAAATCAAAATATTTTGAAAATTTTATCGTATATAGAATATGCGAATATAAACAACCAGTGAAAATATCATGTATCTACGGTCATTTGTTTTAAAGTTACACCAAAAACCAAAATCGATATTCTCGAAAACAGATTTTGAGTAAAAATTCCCGTTTTTCCTTAATTTTTCTTTTGGTTTTAACAACGCTTTTGAAAACTACTTGAAAATTTATACTTTTGATCCCCCAACGTACCAACTAGATTCACTTTCCTATCAGAAAAGCTACTGATGAATAAAATTCAAGCACTTTTACTGTCCTAAAACGTGATGACAGACACAAAAAAAAAAAAAAAAAACACACATCATTGTAAAACCAATACATTCATCGCTCCGCTCAGAATCTAAAAGAAGAAATGAAAATGGGTCAATACAAAGTAAATAGGTGCCTGCCTTAATATTAAACAACTAATCATGCAAGTACACAAAATATTTAAATTATTCCATGCTGTGTCTATTGAAATATACCTAATATTGTTCACTGTAACCAACTGAAAAGTTAACTAGGTAGTAAAAGTATTGTAAATTATTATAACATAGTGTTCTAATATTATATAATTACTACTTTAACATATTATTATAAATATATATATTGTTATTTATTTTAAGTCTAAAATGTGTTAAAATATTTTTAAAAAAAAACTGATTATTATAATCATAAATTGGACTTTAAATAATGAGCTAGTTATTTTGTTTTGTTTAATAAATATAACTAAAAATTAAAAGGTTCTACATACACATCATTATATTATATTATAAAAGTTTATTTAACTAACAAGCCCAATATTATTTTCTAAACATATCAAAGATGTTTTTTTAAAAAACCTTGAATAAGAATAAACTATTTCGTTAAATTAATTATATTCTAATAATTGATGATGATAAGTGGTAACCTATAAACATATTTAGGTACATATTTCAAAATTTACTACAAACAAAGCTTAGTATAGGCTTTTACTGATTTTATACTGATTTTAAATATTTATGAATATTTGCATCAATAACTGATGTACAAGCGGTAAGTGGTACATAAAAGAGGGGGTGATTTGGGGTGTTTCGACCACCACAGGTTTTTTTTGCTATGGAAATCGTTCAAAGCCCAAAAGTAACAGTTAAATTAATGAGTGTGTCCCCTGAAATCAGATTATTTTAGGCCCTGATGCAAACAGAATATTTGTCAGTCGGACTTAGTTTCAAAATTATACACTTTCCATTATGTATTTTAAATTTAAAAACAAATACTGAAATATTATATGATAAGTACACAGATATACTGTTTTAAGTATTGAATAATTTTTTTAATATTTTCAACAAAGAGTATTTTTTATGGTGTTTTAAATACATTCACGGGGATCAATTCTCGAACTATATTTATAGCTTATTTATTAGCAATTAAAAAACAGAAATAATAAATTAATGTTTAACCTAATCCACTGTTAAGCGTAAGTCTGTTTTCGTTTATTATTTTAGGACTTGAACTAAACGTGTATTATTGCCACGGGCAGTTGACTTGGTGAGCCTGAACAGTCAAAGTTTTCCTTTCATCATACAAAGTTTAATACCTACGTATATAGGCACTTTTCTTGCATAATATTTCCGCGTAACACCTCAATTTTTTTTTTTTTTTTGTTTAAATTTATACCATGACGATTACTGGGCCTCACTGAGAAAAACTTTTGGTTATAGGCAGGACCGCATTTGTGGGGGGGGGGGGGCAACGGGTCATTTGCCCCGGGCGGAAAATTTTTGAAACATTTAGGTGGCGGCCAGACACCAGTGTAATATTATAAAATACATTAGTACAATTTTTTTTATGTTGTTAATAATTTGATTGAGTACCTACTTGGAATTTTCGCATTGCATATGATATGGCCATACGCCGTCATTAATTAAAAATACATAGGCACAATTTTTTTAGATTCTGAGCTGAGCGATGAATGTATTAATTTTACAATGATGTGTTTTTTTTTTTTTTTTGTGGCTGTCACCACCGTTTGGGGCAGTAAAACAGAAACAAATTCTGTTTCAGTGTTTAATTGGCTTGATTGGTTAAGTCAGTATGATAGATCTTCCATTTTCAAGCAATTTTTTTGTTGTCTTAAGATGTTTACAATCATTCCTGTTACGAGCTGTACTTGTGAGAGTACGTTTTAGAAATTAACTATTGTCAAGAACAAGTTAAGGAACACTATCGGCCAAGAAAGATTGAATGCTTTACTTTTTGTTGAACAAGAACTAACTAATAGTGTTGATGTAAATAGTGTGATTGATGAATTTAAACACTCATTCCCAATTAAACGTCGGCTTGTATTATAATAATAAAGAATAATATTAATATTTGATGTATTGTTAATTTTGATATGGTATACCGGTGTTGAGCAAAAACAATCTATGATTAACCAATGATTATCGTTTAAAATAGTTTTATTTAAAGGTCAAAGGTTAAATTTTGATTTTGAGCTTAAAAATGTTAACTTTACACCCATGTATGGACAGGTTAAAATATCTGCTGCCCCCGACTTGAAACTCTGCGCACGCCTATGAGCGTATACCTGTTTTCGTTTATTATTTTAGGACTTGAATTAAACGTGTATTATTGCCACCGTTGCAGATTCCATTTGACCCAAGTTTGGTGGCTACAAAAATAGTAAAATATGTCGTTACAAATTTGTAAAAAAAATATCATACAATAATTATAAAAATTGAATTTTATTATAGTAATTATTATTACATATAGGTTAGGTTAAGTTAGTTTTGAAATATTCATGAATAATTGAATTCATATTTTACTATCATAATTATTATTATATACCTTCTTATTACCTACATATATTACATTACTATATTAATTTTTATCCGATTAATTTATTAAACTTATTGATATGATAAAATTGATTATAAATATTAAATACTAATATCAATAATCAATTGCCAATTGTTTTATTTTTTATTTAATTCAATATAAAAATTGTTAAGTTCAGTCGTTATAATTGTACATTTTAAAGAAAACTGTAGGTGCTGGCTGAAAAGGGAACTTTACATTTTGGCCGAAAACGGTGACTACCCTATGTACGGACAGCAATCGGGATAGGTAAAAGGGTTACTTTATTCCACAATCAGGCTTCACCCGACGGTTTTTTTTTTTTGTTTAAATTTATACCATGACGATTACTGGGCCTCACTGAGAAAAACTTTTGGTTATAGGCAGGACCGTATTTGTGGGGGGGGGGGGCAACGGGTCATTTGCCCCGGGCGGAAAATTTTTGAAACATTTAGGTGGCGGCCAGACACCAGTGTAATATTATAAAATACATTAGTACAATTTTTTTTATGTTGTTAATAATTTGATTGAGTACCTACTTGGAATTTTCGCATTGCATATGATATGGCCATACACCGTCATTAATTAAAAATACATAGGCACAATTTTTTTGGATTCTGAACTGAGTGATGAATATATTAATTTTACAATGATGTGTTTTTTTTTTGTGGTTGTCACCACCGTTTGTTCGAATTTCCACCCGTCGAGTTTTTTTCTATTAAATGACTTTATTAATAATTAAATAAGTACAATAGGTAATTTCTGATTACACCAAAATGTTAAGGATGAACAAACTCACATTAACAAAAAAAAAAAAAAATTAAAAATCGCTTTGGGGTTAAAACGCATTCGTTCCAATATTTCATATTTTCATCAATTAGCTCTTATATCAGCTCTTAAATCTCTAGAAAAACCAATGTTAAATAAACATATTATAATTTTTATAAGTAAAACAAAAATTAATACAATGATTTCTTTATAATGAGTGTTTATTTTTTTTTTCTTATAGTAAATTTATTGTAGGTTAATTTATTGTAAAATTACTGTACATATTATACTGAAAGAATCTATAGTACGTGTGATATTCTATCGAGTAAGTAATTATAGTTTATACTCAAATCATAAAAATCAAATACAAACTGAAAAAAATGTATTATTTATTTTGATTACATTTCTTCTGATCTGAAACACCACTGGGAAATTTTTACTTTTGACCCCTAAAGTACCAACTAGATTCACTTTCCTATCAGAAAAGATACTGTTGAAGAAAATCTAATTATTTTTACTTTCCTAAAATGTGATGAAAGACACAAAAAAAAAATTAAAAAATAATAATAAAAAAAACACACATCATTGTAAAATCAATAGGTACATTCATCGTTTCACTTAGAATCTAAAACGCGAGTAAGTGGGTGTCGCTCTGCTGTACAGTAGGTTACAAGTGTAATGGATGGTGTTAAATTTGAACTCAATGATTTAATACCATTGTATTTAAGAAAAACGATTCTGAGCGATGATATAACTAAGTATATTTGATAATATTATTGTGAATAAAGTAATTTATATAATATAACCTATTTACTTGGAACCTTGTTTTAAATTTTCAATCCTTAGCTATTAATGTTGAACATTTTATACATTTTTAACTACAAATTGAACTTTAAATGAACTTTTGAAATGATTTTATGTTGTAGATCAAACATGGTTTGAACTGTTATAATTATTTTAAAAGCATTTATTATTTTTTTTTTTTTCAAATGTTATCTAATAGGGTAGCTTCTTTGTATTATTATTAAATTAAGTCAAATATTGACTTTTCATATGTATTTGAAAAATAAACTATTTTATTTTTTATGTTTTCAATGATGTATTAACATACTCAAATACTCGATAAGGAATCTTTTGGAATGACTTTTATCTCAATTGGTCAAGTCGTTAAAAGTTACACGTTTAATAACAGAATAATACACTCGAGAATTATATTAAGTATATACGTATAAAAAAGAAGATATAATATATTTTAAGGATTTCAGTAGTGGAGTGTAGTGGAGAGTATACTCACTTCTCTGTATTTCTGTGAGTGCGTATAATTGTATAGAATAACACATCATGATTTGCGGGTATACGATTATGGGAATGCATTTGTTCTACAAACCAATTTAATGAATAATTTATAATTAATATAATATACACCGAATTAAATTGTTGAACAGTTTTATTAAAATATAATGAACATCGCATATGATTACATAATGATTAAAATATAACAAGATTACTTATGTATGAAAAAAATTAGGTAGATTATATAAATAAAACAACAAAATTAAAAACAGGAACAAATAATATAATATTATACCAACCTACATAATTATGTTTTTGTTTTTACCTTAAAACAATGAATACTTTGATACTTATGTAAATACCTGTTTTGTTATTTTTAACACTTAATATATTCAAATTATTTATTACTTTTGATTTTCAACAGATATTTACATTTGGAATAAGGTTACAAAATACATTTTATTAAAAATTAAATCCATATTTCTTATCCATACCTACCAGTTTTGTTCTTTTAATAATTTAAGCTTGTTCTTAAGTTTTCAAAAAATAAACATTGTATCAACCTATTCTACTACTTATTTATTTATGAGACAATACTGTAGCACCAAAATGTTGGTTCTTGCTAAAAAAAAAAATGACGTAATCCAAAATAATTAATTGAGCAGTTTAGTATAGGTAAAAAACAAAATTGAGTATAAATAATTAAGTAGCTATAAAATGAACTTTAAAATTTCATTATAAAAATGATTACATGTTTGAACAATTTAATATGTATATCTGTAATTTGATTTTGATAACTTTAGTTTAGAATTTTAATCAATTGCAAAACAGAAGACTAATAATAGACCAATTTACATTGATATTGACCATTACAATGTGTCTGAAAAGTTTGTACATTTCTTGAAGATGATAATAATAGTTGGAACAAAAAATAATAAGGAAAGGAACTAAAAAAGTTGTGCTTTCACCTTGATTACAGTAAGTTTGAATTCACATGAGCAATGAATTCTGATGCATGGCTTATACTAGATACAAATCCTTCAAATTCATATCCGTCAATAGTATCTATTTCGTAGTTTTTTTCGCCATTTAATGATGCTGCTGTATTTTCAGTCTCGTATCTGGGTCTAAAAAAAAAACAAAAAAAATAATTTCCTAAATTAAATAAAGGACAATAATGACATTATGACTGCGTATTATCTAGATTATAGCAACAGAATTAGAACTATTTTATTTCACTAGCAATACACGCATGTGGTCTGCAATTACCTACCTAATTATTAAATAGATACTCGGCATATTAATAATTTTAATTCAATATAATATTATACTATTATTAAATGTTTATGTAAACTGCAAGGAGTTGGATGTTTGAAAATTGAACATAAGTGTTGCATACTACTTACATTGAATTGAATAATGTGTTTAACAAGTTATTAGTAAATTTGGTTCTGCACATTAGTCATAGCATTTAAAATAAATTATGTTTATAGCGGATACAGTTTGAAAAAAGTTTACAAAGATATTACTATTGTTCGACAAGTTAAAAAAATTATCTAAAACATTAAAACTCATATAACCAGTGTGTCTATAGGTAGCTACTACACTCAACAAAGTTTAAGGGCAGTTTATTAGGGCAGTTATTAGCTGTCAAACAACTGACAAGATACCTAAATAATACTAATTGATCATCACATTTATAACTTAGTATTTTAAATGTTGAAAGTTGCCTATTAAAATATAACTAATTAGGTAGTACTACTATGAGGGGGATGCATTTAATAATATGGGAAAGTCAATTTCAATTAGACTCAAAGACAGGTATACAAATAAGTATTTAGAATTATTATCACTTCTTCGCTTCACTAGAACAATTGGTACATTGGCAGTAGAATATGTTTGGATTACTATTTTTCAACTGTGTTAAACAAAGGCAAACAATCACCGAAAAGAGTTTAGTGCATTTTCAAATTTCGACAGCGTTTTTCATAATGATATTACATACCTATTTTAACTTACATGACGAGTGTTGTAAAAATGTCATAAAATGTATAGTTACTAGAAAAATCACACACAATTTAAAAAAATTATTTAATTTATTAAATTTTTTTGTCTTTCCTATTTATTACACCTACCTACTCAGTACAATATTTTTGTACACAACTATTTCTATAGACAGTGCTTAAAGGGTTTATAGATTTCATTAGATATTAACCTAACCTACACAAACATACTACAGACTCCAATATTTTTTTTATGAATAGGTAGAAAAAATTCGTGAATTATTATGTACTGTGGTATTGTAATTAATAAAAACAACAATAACAGTGGCAAACTCTCCACTCATGCTTAAAAATAAAAACGTAATTAATAAAAATACAAAAAGGTGGGTAAGTGGATGTCGCTCTGCTGTACAGTAGGTTACAATTGGGTCACTGTATAATGGATGGTATTAAATTTGAATTCAATGATATAATATCATTGTATAAGAAAAACGATTCTGAGCGAAGACGGTATGTCAGTCTGGGTTTAAGACATATTATATACTTATCTATGGTATTAAAAAAATTGAACTATAATAGGTAGGTACTATAGGTACCTATAATAAATTCCAAATTAATCATATCGCAATATCCATTAGGTACTTATAAGTTATAACACGTTATACATCAATAACGAACCCTGATAGTGGCTGATACTATCATAGATATTATATAATATAGTGTACTTTAGAAGTTTCAAGTACTCACAACTAAATAACTAAAATAGGTACCTATATTAGGTTTTTTAATATGTAATTTCGTCCCAAATTTGAACTTAAATGACCATAAAAATAAACTGTGCTTGTGTATTTTTTAGATTTTTCTGTAACAGAATAAACTACTTACGTGGAATCTTGTTTTACATTTTCAATCCTTAGCTGTAAAAACTGAACATTTTTAATTTATTAATTACAATGATTGATAATTTTCGAGGTTTTGAAAAATTCTGTCAAAATTCGATCTTTAAATGCTTATAAAAAAAAAATGTGCCTATGTATTTTTAATATTTTTCAACTGATATGGTAACAATATATCAAGAGCCTTGTATTAAATTTTTACACTTTTTGGCCCAACAGATAAAACTTTATTGATATTCATAGAAAAAAAAACTAAAAAAAATTGAAAAATGAAAATATCCGTAAACAGCTCAAAAAGAGTCAAAATATTTTCAAAATTTTATAGTGTATAGGAAATGCTAATATAAACAATCAGTGAAATTTTCATGTATCTATAGTTATTCGTTTATGAATTACAACAAAATAAGGAAATCGCTACATGAGAAATCGAGTGAATATCCAATGTTGTAAAAATTTGAATTTCAGACGCTCATAAAAATTTAATTTGACTGTCCGGTAGAGATTTTTTTATTGATAAAGGTAGACAAACTTATGAGTAATCTTGTATTACATTTTCAAATCTTAGATTTAAAAAGAAAAATTTTCACGAATTCTTAACTCAAAATAGTTTGCTTTTTTTTTCGTGATTTTTCCATATTTTGTCAAATTTTGAACTTTAAATGCTTATAAAAAAAACTATGACTAAGGATTTTTAATGTTTTTTATCTGCCTTTGAAACAATATACTAGGAGCCTTCTATTAAATGTTCAAGCTTTTTCAACCAACAAATAAAATTTTAATGATATTTTTAGAAAAAATACTAAAAAAAAATGGAAAATGAAAATGTCTGTAAAGAGCTTAAAATAATTGGAAAATGTTATGGTGTATAGAAAATGCTAATGTAAACATTCAGTCAGAATTTCATGTACCTACAGTCATTTGTTTAAGAGTTGCATGAAAAACCAAAATCGAATTTCTCGAAAACAGATTTTCCGTAAAAATTCCCGTTTTTCTTTAATTTTTATGTTGTTTTTCCCGGTGCTTGTGAAAACTATTGGGAAATTTAAATTTTGACCTCCCCAATGCACCAACGATATTCACTTTCGAATCGAAAAAGATAATGAAGTTGAAAATCGAAGCATTATTTCGACTACTTATCGTGTACACAGACACAAAAATAAAAAATAAAAATATAAAAACACGCAACATTGTAAAATCAATACATTCATTGTTCCACTCAGAATCTAAAATTATTTTGTCATCAATAATATAATATTACGAATTTAAAAAAATCATAATATATGACAAAAATGTCACCTATTTATTATCTGTATTTATATTTTATCGTAACATTTATTGACAGAGCATGCGATAGCTGTGTGCACAAGCTATACGACGCTTATTATCGCTGTGAAATACCGATTGTTCCGAGACCTTTAGGTTTACCACCCAAGGCATGCTCAGTCGGTTGTGCTTCGTCAATGAATTTTGTAATGTTATTATTCTTCATTTTGTTTTGTTATTTGTTATGCTATTTTTTTAATATTGTGTAGTGTTAGGTACTATAGAACTTAAATTATAGACATTTATTAAGATAAATATTAGATAATATTTTGAATCAAATTATGAGTAGATTTGAATCAATGGGAAAGTTGGAGTTTTTTTTCATTACTTAATTCTGAGTTGTATCAAAAACATAATAAACTATTTCCTGTAACTGAACTCAAGTGTTTACAGAAGTAATACGGAAGAATATCTTGATATTTGCCGGTTAAAAAATTAGTTACATGTTTTATACAGTTCAGTAGAATTTAAAGATAAACCAATTTTCGAAATAACCAAATAGGTACATGAATTTAAATAAACTATACTTGGGTCTGAAAAAAGTATATAAATTAGCTTAATTAATTGCAACTATTCCAAGTACAACAGCATAAGCGAAAAAAACATTTTCAGCCCTCAAAAGAATAAAAACATTGAAGGTCTACTCTAGGTCAAAAGTTTTAGAAAAATTAAATATAAGTCTTGAATTTTACTCTAAAGTAACAGAAAAGTTTGTCGAAAAAAGAATTCACTTTATTTAAATAAAAAAAAATGTGAACGTAACTTGTTTTACTTAAAGGAGTTAGTCAAATCTTAATTTAAATGATTAAAGTATTAAATTAAAGTCTTATTTATAAACTGAATACAACTATATAATACATTATGATAAATGAGCATGCCCATACATCGGAGTCAGCATTCGCCACTGAAAAAAAAGTGTAGGAAACTAGGGTAAAGGTAATGTGTGCTGTAATATTGTGATTTATTAATTGTTAAAAATACCTATCGATTCAGTGTTTATATAGGTTAAAACACATTGTTGAAAAAATGATATCAAAACAAAAATAGTATAATGGCATTTCATAATATTACACTATGATATAGTTTATACTCGAGTATATATTTCTTACTTTCTTGGTAATAATCTAATGACTTTATTATGATCGTCTGATGTATCCATATATTCATCAATACATTCATTTTTAATGGTCCCACTCATTTCTTGATTGTCAGGTTTAGTATGTGGCATCGTCAATTCTTGAGGACTGTGTAATACCGTACAATCACGCCTAAATGAAATGACAAAAAAAAATTATTATTAATTATTATTATGTAGGTTACTACTGTAACTATTTAAATAATATATAAATCTTTGTATATGTATTACATATATAATGTTTTTACTTTATAGAATATTACATAAATTAATAAATTTTTCCGTCAAACAAATTAGAAGAAAGTTTTAACAATAGCAACCTCACTTTAGGATATAGGATATTTTATACACAAATCTCTATTACACTACACTCTATTCAAGGTAAGATTAAACAGCTTTCGAGAGTGCAGAATGAGACACCAAACATTGCCTGACCCGGCTGACCCCCCAAATGATGGCTATGCGTTCTGTGATTGGCCAACAGTCATCGCTAGCCATCGTCGGTTGTCAGTGCTAACGCTGTCACTGGTGTCTGGGTTATGGGGGGATGCGCTGAAATAGGAATGGATCTTTAACTGAATGAAGTATATTTGATGGTAAATCATCTAATTTAATAAAAAAAAACTCAATCAGTAAACTATGAATTCCCAATAGTTGTTTAGGGAAAAAACACCTACCCGATATAAGGTTCAATTGATAATTGAAGACATTTTAGCAGCCAAAGTAAAAATGTAAGCAATCGTTAAAATAAACAAAATGTTAGTAAATAAAAATAACATAAGATAACTCAAATTAAATTATTACAATCAGAGCTTACATTTCAAAAAAATATGCTGTAAATTACAAATTTTACGTGAGAATATATTAATATAAATTAGGGGTTATAAATTGTTTGCTAAAATAATATTAAATATATTAAATTTCATAATATTACACTATGATACAATATATTATTGTTACATTTGTTGTAATAATTCACTTGTGTAGTTGTCATCTGCTTCATCAGTTATTTCCTGCATAATAAAGTTTGATGTATCAATATTTTCATTTGTAATAGCCTTGTTCATTTCTTGATTGTCAGGTTTAATATGTAACATCGCCAATTCTTCAAGACTGTGAGATACATTACAATCACGCCTAAATGAAATTGCAAAATAATGTATTATTTATTATTATGTAGGTTAGTTTCTTTATACCACACTGGACTAATGTACCTAATACATATGTTGTAAATTGTGATATAATGATTTATTAGTTGTCAAAAATACCTATCTGAGAACTTACAACACATTGTTGAAAAAATGTTGTCAAGATAAAAATAGACAATAAATACAATACATTAATATTATTGTATTATTAAATTTCACAACATTACACTTTAATATTTATAATAGTATTATATTATTATTCTTACATATTTTGTAATAATCCACTAGCGTAACAATTATTATCCGCTTCATCCATAATTTCCTGCTCAATAAATCCGTTCATTTCTCGATAAGGAAGTGGGACTGGTCCAAGTGATATTCTATTATAATCACCCCTAAAATAATTAATCATTATAATATAGGTAACTACTGTTTAAATAAAGAGGCCGCCGCACCCGCTTGTGTTGTCTCCTTCTTACAAGTGCGTAACATGGCGAATGTAAGCTCAACAGGTCACGTTTAGCTCAGTTGGTTTAAAAATCAGAGTGAATTGGATATTATATAATTCGACGGTATTTTGTTAAAAGTTTGTTTACCACTGAAAATACGTTTTTGATATTAAAAGTTTCAGAAATATCATGAGCATATTCTGGCGAAACGACGTATACATCTACGGAAAAATAAAATAGCAAAAATAAAAGGGCGTTTATAAAATTCAAATTGTTAAAACTTAAAAGGGGGCCTACACCACATTTATTTTTTTTTTAAATTAAGATAACATTAAATATAAATTTAGTTTAAGCAATTTAATAAGAAGTTTTAGTTCCATGGAGTCTCATGTTTAATATAATGTATAAATGTTTATGTTGTACCTATCTTAAAATTGAATATTTAATCAGTTAATTAATTTGGTATACGAACTTTTAACAAAATACTGTCGACATAATATATAATAATTGTCTATTATGATACTTGATGGTAATAACTTCACCAAGAACATTATCTGAGTTCGTATGTTGATTTTTTACGATAGGTAGTTCAATTTTTTAGCAAGTTTTGTGTATATTATAATATAGCGTAGATTATAAATGCTTATAACTCGCTTAAAAATTGAATAATCGTAAAAAACCAACATACAAACGTGGATAATGTTCTTACCATCGTAATAGGTCGATTTTATCATTCTAATTTTTACTAACGGAGCTAAACGTAAATTGCTGAGGGTAAATTTGCAGCTATGTTAAGTACAGTGAAGACGGTGACAACCAGGCCCTGATTTACGCAAGTGCAGATGGAGCACTTGCACTTGGCCCCCAATTTTTGGGGGCCCCCGATCTCCGTGAATTGTAGAAAATTTTCTGTATTAAATTTTTTTTTTAAATTAATTATTTTTAATAAATTATAATTCCCATAGACCTTATACTAGTATAAGTTATTCTTCACCTCAATACGTCATATTAAAATAATAATAATAGAAAATTGTTCGAACATCGGAAATATTTGGTACATAATAACTATTTATAGATTTCTTCCAGCCCAGTATTTACTGATTAACCGGTCGTTGGTGACGCATTTCGCTCCCACAATTACCATTTTTAGAACTATTGATTTAGGTTATTCAGTTATCCACGGAAATGAATATCGCAAAACAAATGTTATAAATAAACTAATATATAAAAAAAAATTTTGAATCAGTTATCGAAACTTTTGCAGAGAAAAAAAGCAAGAAAGAAATCTTTTTAAACTTTTTTTGTGATAAAATGTTATAGCTAAATAAAAATATAAATATAGAAAATATAGAAATGATTTATTTTTCATTTCATTTTAATTGTATAAAATAAATTGTTAAATTAACAAGTTATTTACCATTTTTATAATTTTATGGAAGATTGATAATTAATTATGTTATTTAATTAGTATTATTTTTTCAATGTCCTTAATTTACCAGACCAAGTACTTAACTAAATTGCATTTATAGTATATGAAATAATGTAAATGTATTACAAATATTTTATGAATTTTGAGATATTTATTTAATACTTAACATATAAATATTTTGTTTTATTATCAATATTTCCTCCTACTCTCTGTATAGATTTTTTCTAGAACATTTTTTTGACTTGTGGTGGTGGCCGGTGGGGGTAGGGGGCCCCCAAAAAAATTGTGCACTTGGCCCAAATTTTATTAAATCAGGGCCTGGTGACAACACAATATACGGGTGTCGGGGTGTGGGGTCCTCTTAAAGTCTAAAATACAAATATATACGTAATTACTTAAAGGTATCACATAATATATTATATGAAATATGAATACATTTTTACGTTCGACAGATCAGAAGAGACTATCCAGCGCGACGGTAGTGGCGCGAAGCTAAGTAAAAAAAAATAGCTGAGTAACCACTAAAGTATAATAACGGGACACCGAGTTTTAACATTGAAAAATCGTCCTAATTTATGTCAATTCTTTTCCAAGCTCTACAGGGCAAACGGCTGAACATATAAAGTCGTATGAGGTATCAATCGATCATAAATATTGTGCAGATGGGAACAGAGGAATTTACCACCAGATCGGTTAGATAGTTTATAAGTTATAAGCAAAAATGTCCAAGTAGGTACTTTTAAGACCTATTTTGCGTACGGAACATTGGGGAAGGATGAGCGGTGGGTCGAGGAACGAAAATATCGTAAATTCCCCCGACCCGCAACTTATCCATTCCCACTACTCTCGTCGCGGCGGCGGATACCAGTCGCCGGAAACCATGTTTTACCATTATACCATATTATGGTGTATTGCCGACGAGTGACGACCAGCAAGATAGTATAATATATATATTATAGGTACTTGCTGACGACTCAACGACTGTCATTGTTAGTGAATTCGTGATCCAGCGCGACGGTATTACATTATTATGCTGAAAACTTGGAACGATAATAAAATAAAATAAGCAATCTGGTGATTAATTCATTACCCGTGGCAACAATTAAGGTCGATACTCGATGGCAAATCATATGCTCTTAATTATGTGATTTGCCATCATGGTCCATCTATGACTCAAGTCTTAAGCCCATTATACATCAGTTATTAAACATAATATAATAAAATATGGGTTAGATGTAACGATATAATATTAATTATTATAATATTTATGCTATAATTTAAAAAAAAAAAACTAAAATAGAAAATAAGATATGACAACAGGAGGCCAACGATGCATATTATGCTATTATGGATTATTATTATTACATTATTACATACAGTGAAATAAAATCGCGACTTATTTCATAAAAAAATAGCTGATACCACACCAAAAACACTACGTAATAACTCCGTGTAAAAAAAAAGCTAAGTTAAAAAAAAATTGAATTATGATTAAATCTTTAAACGATGTGATATATTATGGAAATTAAGTAAAATGACATTTTATAATATTACAAATACCTTTTATGACAAATAATATCAATTGTATTGTTAAATACTTAGTCAACGTATTATGTTGGGCAGGACGTAAAAGTATTCTTAAATAAATAAGATTAAGTAATCACTACAATATTTAAAGTAATTAATAATGTATCAACAATATGTTGACCAAGTATTTAACAATACAATTGATCTTATTTGTCATCATAGGTATTTGTAATATTATAAAATGTCATTTTACTTAATTTGCATATTATATCACATCTTTTAAAGATTTAATCATTATTAAATTTTTTTAACTTAGCTTTTTTTTTCCACGGAGTAATAACTTAGTGTTTTTGGTGTGATAGACAATAACAGCGACCGAACTTAAAAAAAAGCAAGTATAATAATAATAATAATAATAATGTGTTCTTCAGTATACAACAAACGTACAACCATAATACCTACTCATCACACAGTAGTACGCGCCGACTAGGATATTGGATATTTTATAAACAAATCTATAATAGTAGGTACACTATTTTATGAGAATAAATCGAATTTAATAATAAAAAAAAGGGATTGGATTGTCCGTTGGAAGACTTCGAATTATTTTCAAAAGTTGGCGGGGAATTAAAAATAGAATATTGGTTGAACAAATTTCCGTGGCTCAGCTTAGTAGGTACTGTATGTGCGTGTGTGCGAGCATGGACGTGTGTGTAAACAACATAAATAAAATTATTATGGTATGATCGCAAAGCAATTATTATTACCTATCAAAATATTTTGTCGTTAAATCATTATTAGTACCTGTACACTAAGATGGCCATAAAAATAAAATACAAAAAACGGGACACTTCGAAAACAAAATTACTGTGATGTATAATTGTTTTTAAATACATATACCTACTGTAATACTAGTAGCCAGTACCATAGTATCATCTGCGTGATTAATTAAGATTATGCGTATATTAATTATAATATAATATATAAGTGACCTAACTAAATATTATATAATAAAATAAAAATTTATTGCAGCTATGTACAACAATGTAGGTAGGTACAGGCGTACAGCTGATAATGCCGAAAAACGTTATTTTTCATTTTTCTAGTACGTAATACTTGTGCTGTTTTATCTTATCTGCCCCCACACACAATAGAAAATACCGATTCAGATAATATTGTACAAAATTATTTTTAAACTCGGTCGAAAAAAGAGAATTCTGATTTTAAATGTGGAGTGTAAACGCGCCATTCCTTTTCGACATTTTCAAAACAAATAGGTATATTTTCCATCGAATTATAATACTGTTTATACCACCTCAATACGACTACGCCACAATACTTACTACCTACAGAGTACATTTCGAATTTTATAGCGTACAAATGTCAAATAATAATGAGAAATTACATTTAAAACAGTTTGCAGATACAATATAATTTTATGGATATCCTAAAATATAAATTGTTATTAAAATGACAATATTATATTATAGTACGCAAACGCAACACACACACACACACACACATATACACCTTAGATGACGAACTGTTCATAATAATATATCAGATAATAAAATACGAAAATATAATATTGTTATTTATTATTAGGCAAGTGCGTGAAACGTCGCCCACGACGACAATGTGACATTATATCCAAAAATACCACCGATAGCACAGGCTATAGATTATAATAATATTCTGTATCGATAGACGTCGTACAAAAATATCGCAAAAAAAACGGTTGTGTTATAAAATAAATGTCTGAAGAGGATGTGTTGTCTCCGTCTTACACACGTACAACATGAAAAAAACGAGTTTACGCAGTATAATTCGCTCAATTTTGGTTTTATAGAGTAAAAATACCTATTATAAAATTGAACTTTGACAGTGCACTTACTCCATTATACCCAATATATTATATCGTTCAGAAATAGAAAAAAA